TCATACTAAAAAAAGAATAATGTTATAAAGCATATTGGAGTTTTTCTGTTGTAGACAAAAACCTAGAAATCATCAAAACAACAAATTGGTAACACCTCCATTGTTGCTTACTGGTAACACCTCTATGAAAGTTGCTAAAAGTATTGGAATTATATATAAAATTAGAAATATATAATTTAAACAACAATTAAAACAATTAAATTATTCGTTTATTAACCGCCATTTAAATCATGCAAATATTATATGAGAAAAAGCGCGCAAAACTAAACTTAAATCTCTTTATCAGCATCAGAATCACGCAGCTTGCTTAATTAGTTTGGTAAACTATTTTTCAAATTCAAAACCATATCTGAGAAAAATGAAAGCCTTTAATGTATACAATCTAAATGTTTATATTATATTACGTTTTTTGTTTAATTGTAAAAATCATATTTCTCCTGACGTATTTATAAACCATTATAATTCAAAACCCATAAACAAAAACAATTTTCGTAATGGAAAAAGTTTCTCTAAGAGAAAGTATTTTGCGAAACTAAATTTGAACAACTAATTACTTTTTATCGCGGTCCTTTTTTTTGAAATAAAATAGTTTTACCCTATTTTGATTTGTCTTTGAAATGGAATTTAAGCTCTTTAAAATTTAGTATTATAATTTATTATTGTAATTATTGTTATTGTTATTATCATTATTATTTTTATTGATGTTATTGCTATTACTAATGTTATTGTTATTGTTATTATTACTATTATTGTCTACATAATTAGGTATATTTAATCTTATTTAGGTATATTTAATTATATTAGTAATTTAACTTAGGTATATTTAATTAAAAAGGTATATTTAATTAGGTATATATAAAGTAATTTGATTAATAGTTAGGTATATATAATCAGGTATATATCATGCATAAGTAAAATGACAAACTGAATTATATAGTAAAGCTGAACGATCTTGAATATTATTAAGCCTTATAAAAGTTTAAATTTTTACATATAGAAAAAACAACTTTTTATGGGACTAATACTTTCATGCCAATACGGCAATCATCAGCCATGTACTGTATCAAAAACAAACAAACCGTTAATAAAATTACAAAATACAGTGGAGCGACATCTGACGTTTCTATAGAGACAAAAAAAAAAAACGTCAAAGAAAATCTTATATAAATCAGCTAATCACCAGTATCATAAAACGAAAGAAGGAATTTATTTTTATGCCTACAATTTGAAACCAACTCGTTCCTTTAGTTCAACAGGTTTTCCCCTGTATGGGTTAAAATAAAATACTTTTCATTAAGACAAAGATTGCAAATTTTGGACGAAGGATTATATGTTTGGCAGCGCTTGATAATTTTTTATTTAGTAACAAACAAAAATTTTTCTTCTTTAAGTTTTCAAATTTCTTTAGATAACTCCGTATCATTGCTGTACTTAATTAAATTAAAAGATTTTAAATGGTTTGCATATCTTAACTTGAAAGGGGTCTAGCTAATACCAATATAAACTTTATCTGTGTAATCTGGTTTATTGGATGAAACAGTAGCTTGATACACAATGTTCTTACTTAGACACTGGTTGTTCATAACGCAGGTAGATTTATTAATGCAGTTGCAAGTTTTTGTTGTTGTTTTTTCATGATTGTATAAAATATTTTGATTATGCGAATTAATGACTGATTTAACGTTCGGCATACACGAGTAGCTAATTTTAATGGTGTTTCTGTTAAAAATCTTGTGTAAATAATGACCAACAGGAAAGCTTGTATCAATTATTTTTAAAAAAAGATTTCCAATTTTTCTTTCAACATTTTTACTATACGGGGGATCATACCAAATAATGTTTCGTTTGTGATTTTTGTTTTTAGTGGGAACTATATCTGACTGATATTTGAGCTTGGATGAGAAACCCGATTTTATTAATGCATCCTGATAAGGAGAAACAGCTTTTTCAAAAAAAATTTTGTTTGAAGATGCAGTAGACAATCTTTGTTCAATTGTTCGCGGTAGACTTTTTAATATACACGGAGGGTGGTTAGAGTCGGCGTGAATATAATTAAGAGTGTTATCGGGCTTTGAGTAAGGTTGGAAGGTACTGTTGTTAAGATTTAGTGTTAAGTCGAGGTAATTGACAACTTTAATATTACAGCTGAGAGATAAATGGAGACCATTGCTTTTAAAAATTTTAACAAAATGCTTTTTTATTTTTTCCATTTGTTGGCCCTACGATTTTTAAATATAGCTAGACCGTCATCCCGGTACAAACCTAATTCCTTCCCGTTGTAATATTAAGATAGTTGGTGCAAGATAAAAATTCTCTCTAATTCGCATACTTCAGCACCATCATAAGCACCTATAGTTACATTAAACAATTCTCCGTTTTTTTTAATCGAAGAATCGCCATTGGTAAGGATTAAAGGTTTTCTCGCGTACATAATAAATTTCCTATCTTCTTGATTTATAACTAGGTGCTGACCAGCAAACTCTATTGCGTCGCTAAGTAGTTTTACATTAATCGATAGGTAAAAGTCAGTTACATCGAAAAATAAAAATGTGTAAAGGTGTTTTCTTTTTTTGTCTGTATAGAGACGTCAGATGTCGCTTCACTGTATTTTGTAATTTTATTAACGGTTTGTTTGTTTTTGATACAGTAAATGGCTGATGATTGCCGTATTGGCATGAAACTATTAGTCCCATGAAAGTTGTTTTTTCTATATGTAAATATATATATATATATATATATATATGTATATATATATATATATATATATATATATATATATATATATATATATATATATATATATATATATATATATATATATATATAGATAGATAGATAGATAGATAGATAGATAGATAGATAGATATAGAAATAGATAGATAGATATAGATATAGATATATAAAGATATATTTGTGCTTTATTACAATAATAATGATACAGATACAAATAATATAAAATAAACAAAAGTTGTATATATATATATATATATATATATATATATATATATATATATATATATATATATATATATATATATATATATATATATATATATATATATATATATATATATAAATATATAGATAGATAGATAGATAGATAGATAGATATAGAAATAGATAGATAGATATAGATATAGATATATATATAGATATAGATATATATAGATATATTTGTGCTTTATTACAGTAATAATGATATAGATACAAATAATATAAAATAAACAAAAGTTAAAAAGTCAAGTTATAAAGATCGCGGATACTCAAAGAAGACCATCTCATCTTGTCACAGAAAAATCGCTATTAAAGAAATTATAACGTTTTTTTGTTTTATTTTTTGTTTTAATGGGTTTTTCCTTTTGTTATGGTGTTTGCGGCTTGCATCAATCAAATTACTGTGTCTTCCGAATAGCTGACTCATACAAACAATAATGTCCATAATTTTCTAAATAAATCTCTTGCGCACACTGAATCTAATTTGTCGAAAGTAATCACTGAATCTTATTAATCGCTATTATTTATTCACAACATATCCCTGAATATAATCAAAATATTCTCATTTCAGACTGAATATAATACATTTCAAAAGGTTGTGCGAAAAGAATCTAGATAGCCATGCAATGGTTATCGCTGTGTGTTAAGCCAAATTACCAAAATTCCGTTTACGCTTCTGACAACAAAAACGCCAAGCCTCTGTCAAAGGATGGTTCACCTCCAAACGTAGCCTACATACATATATTGGCAGATACGCATACATCCATTCTTTTTTATTTTATTTTCCTTATATACATACATATATATATATATATATATATATATATATATATATATATATATATATATATATATATATATATATATATATATATATATATATATATATATATATATATATATATATATATATATATATATATATATATATATATATATATATATATATATATATATATAATGTTTAAAAGAATCAAATATTCATTCTTGAGAAAAATCTTTAGAAGTATTTAGAACTATACTATCCAGAAAAATGTTCCGCGAAATGAAATAAAAACTTTTCCAAAATTAGTTAGAAAAAATGGTTGTCGAATTAAATTATCGTTCCATAAATATATTTATTTCTATCTTTTTGTAAATAAAAGTTATAAAAAAAAACGGGTTATAGGAGGGTCTCTTTTGTTTATAAATAAAACAAAGAATATTAAAAGCATTTAATTCTTATATATTGAGTGCTTTCATATCATATAAAAGAGACTTGACGTGAGCAAAACGGTCCTAAAAATTTATAAGGCGTGCTACATGCTTCTGTTGCTGATTAGAGAGGTTAAAGTTTACTTTTATAAGTGCTACCCCAAGCTATGTTTGCGTTGTTAACATGGCAATGAATTAACAAAAAATAATTTAGTTAAGGTATGTTTATCAAGAACGTTTCTTATTTTGTATAAAATGCCAATACTATACAAGTTAGCAATGTGGCTTTTCCATGTAGGATTTTCATCGATGTACAAACCTAAAAATTTTGTCACTAGAACTCTTTTAATAACTATGTTATCAATTAAAAAAAAGGTAAGTTGCTAGGCAGCTGGTGCTTTTTACTATAAAGATGAAAAAGAATCAATTTAGTTTTATCAATATTTAATGATAGTTTGTTTAACCTAAACCACTCAGAAACTTTGACTAGTTCAATGTTCATGTTTCTAAAAAGTATAAAAATGTTATCGTGAAAAAGAAATAAGTTAGAATTATCAGCAAACGTAATTGTCATAAAGTTTGAAGCTTTTGATAAATCATTAATATAATTTAGAAGTAGAAGAGATCCTAATATGGATCCTTGAGGAACTCCACATGAAATATTTAACAAATTTGATGATACCTTATCATACACATAAACAAATTGTTTTCGATTGTTTAGGTAAATTTTGAATCAAATTTATATATTTCCAGTATTTCCGTACTACTCCAACTTTTCAAAAAGAATTTCGTGATCAATAGTACCAAAAACTTCATTGGCGATCATTGTAAACTTTAGGTGTTTTCATTGATCGCCAAATCAATGAAAACAGCTAAAGTAAATTGAGAATTTTCAAATGAGCCAGATATATTTCTTGTAAACTGTAGAATGGCATGTTAAGTAAAATTGTTTTTTTTTCTAATCCATACTGATTGCTGTATAATAAATTGTTTATAGTAAAATGATTATAATCTTTATTGTGCAAAATTCTTTCTAAACCTTTAGCGAATACAAAAAGTAGTGAAATTGGACGATATTTACTTATATTTTCTATGTCACCACCTTATGTATGACTTTTGCTAACTTTAGAACTTGAGGATAAAATTCCGTGTTAATTGATTTTGAAGAAATCTTAAAGAGTATCTCTTTTAAAACATCAAATGAACTTATAATAATGTTGCCATTAATACCATCAGGGTCTGCTGCTTTGTTATATTTTAACATTTAAAGGCAATTTTAAACTCTTCGAAAGATAATTCAAAAGAGTTCAAGTAAGAGTTTAGAGGAAAACATAGATCATTCATTAAACTGTTAGCTATAGGAATTCTTTGGCAATATTTGGTCCTACAGACACAAAATATTTATTAAATTCTTTTGTACTTTGTCTTTTATCATATAAAAATTCATTATTATATTTAACCGTGTTTGGCAAAGAGTGAGATATACGTTTTTTGCTGCCAGTAATTTCTTTTATTGTAAACCAAGTGCGTTTAAAATATTTTTTATATTTATCTGGTAAATTTAATTTTTTTTTTTTTTTTTTTTCTTGAGGTTTTTAGAAAGTTTTGCGTAATTTTTATAGTTAATTTTATTTTCATTTATTTTACATTATAAGTAATTAATGTATAAATTTTGTTTCATTTTCGAAGACATCCGCAAACCCAGCGTCGTAAATATCATAGAAAGAAGACATCCGCAAAAATTAGTGTCGTAAATATCATAAAAAAGTATTATAAAAGAAGTTTTAAACTAAGTTTGTATTATCAGAGGTGTTAATAATGTTCCAATCAATTAGAGATAATTGTTCCTTAAAAGATTCAAGGTTTTCATTTGTAAAAATGCGCTTTTTTTTTGTTTTTCATTAGGATTAAATTTATTATCTATATTTATAGAAAAGAAAATAGGAAAATGATCAGATATGTTATTTATAGTAATCCCTTTTTTAAGGATTAGTTAAAAACATCAGTGGTTAAAATATTATCAATTAAAGAGGCACTTGAATCAAAGGAATCGCACCATTTTCATAAATGCCGTTATAAAACCATTTAATAATATTATCTTTTTTTAGTAACGTCATTAATTAAAAACGAAGTAAAATTTTTAATTTCATCTGAAGGTAGGCGATAACAAAAACTTAGAATTTTATTTTTTATTTTATTGCTTAAAATTTCAATTGTTAAAACCTTTTTATCAGCATCAGAGATGCTCATGTCATGCCGGGTAGAATATCGTAAGTTATTTTGAGCATAAACAAGAACGCCTCCGCCACGCTTATTTGTTTTTTGTGCTTATGAAATTACATTAAAACCCAGCAGTTCAAAATTGGTAAAAGAATTTACGTCATCCAAACTGCACCATGTTTCTGTTAGGCAAATTATATTAAAAAGATTACAAGTTTCTTCAATAAAATTACTAAAGATTTCAAAATGTTTTTTAAACTTCGGATATAATAATTAGGGTTAGGACTATTGTAATTGTAACGAAAACAATAACAGTAACAATAACTTTTGTTATTGTATTAACTTAATTTAGAAACAATAACAATACTTGTGATTTACAACTATTGTAATACTGTAATACAATAACAATAAATATTGTATTGCAATTCATCTTCATAATACAATAACAATATCTGAAAAAAAATGTATTGTAATGACCCACTACAATAACAATAAATATTGTGTTGTAATTCGTTTTTATAATACAATTACAATATATTTGTATTGTAATTAAAAAAATTATTTTAATGTTAAAATTTAATAAATGTTTTGACAGTCTTCAAGATATGTGACCTAGAAATAGGGTACAACTAACATATAATTATTGTTTTTTTTCTATTTTGTTAACTGAAAATCACTTGTCCTCGTTGCAAACTTTATATAGTACTATAAAAGTGAGTTTAATCTGACTTGTCTTTTTTTTACTATTGGAGATAGAAATGATCAATTAATTCCATTTCTTCCACTTAGTTATTTGCTTTTACATTAAGAACCTATCCAATTGTTTCGAAACTTACTCTACTCACACTTACTCTAATATAACTTTATCTTTTGTTTACCTAAGGCTTTATGGCTGTATGTGTTTCATAAAGTAACTAGATATCTAGTTGCAAAGTTATAAAAGAATTTTGTTACATTAATCAAGAACAATAGTTATTTGGTGTTCTAAACTGCCTCATTTTTCAAAAATGACCTTCACAAAATTTACTGGTACGGTCTGGTAGGTGAAAACAATCTGAAAATGTAGAAAATATTTTACAAAACAAAAGTAGTTCACATTTTTAAACAATCTAATTAATAATTACGCAATTTAATGATTCTCTGATTCCATAACGCTGTAATTTATTTCACATAAGCGGTTAGATATATTAATAAAATATATATTTTTTCACGCGCGTTATGTATTAATTCAACTAGTCTTCATCAATTTAATCAACTAGACTTCATCATCTGGTGAAACATGTCAAAATTAGTTTAGACAAAATTTAAAAAAAATAATTTCACTTCGCAAAGTAAATAATTATTTAATCACAAGCATATATATTTATATATTTGCATGATTTTACATAAATATTATTGTTGTTAAATCTAAATAAATTATTATTTAAACAGTTATATTATTGAACTCCAAATAAATAAAATTTATATGTGTAAATGGTTGCTAAAAACGAGTGCCATGAGCGCCCCTGAACTTAATATTTATTAAGTTTACGTAATATAGATACATCTATGGTTTTACCGGCTTCACCTCACTGCTCAAAATAAATAAAATTTAATTATATAAATGACTCATGAAAACGAGCGTCACGAGCACCTCTAAATTTTCTAGTGCCCAAATAGTATTAAAGCGTGAAAAAAGAAACCAAATACTATAAAATATAAAAGCTATTAGATTTTGAAATAGTAATACAATACACCACAGTACTTATTGTAATTTTTTTTTATACCAGCAATACAATACAACAGTGTTAGAGTTTAAATGTATTGCTAGAAAATAAAAAAAATACAATAGTTATTGTAACTGTTTTTATTCACAGCAATACAATAACCATCCATAATCAGCTTAAGTCTGGATTTAAACTCTTTGACTGATGTAGACTCCACTACCGATTCTGGTAAATTATTTCATCCAAAGATAACCCTATTTGTAAAGAAGTGTTGTCTACTTACACAACTTTTAACAAACTCTAATTTACCACGATGTTTATAACCTCTAATATTGGATGTTGGACCTAGCGTATTGATTGAATGCATTTGTATCTGCATTTGTATCTTCATATCAATACATTCAAAACCTTTATATAATTTATGTTGCAGTATAAGGTCACTTCTTAGTCTTCGAACTTCTAAAGCTGTTAAATCTAATATTTTTAAACTTTGATTATATCTCAGATATCTTAATTATGGTATCAATTTAGTTGCTCTTCTTTAATCTTTCTTTGATATCTTTTTTTTAATAGGGATTCCAAGCTTGAATCGCAACTCCAAATAAGGTCTAACGTACGTGCAATAAAACATTTTCATGAGGTACTTATCTTTATATCTAAAAGTATTATTTAATATTGCAAGTATTATTTAAAAGTAAAAAAGTATTATTTAATATTGTTTGCTTTACTGGCAGTATTCCTTACTTGTCTTTCCCATTTCAAACACTTGGATGTATAAAAACCTAAATATTTTTCAAGAGTATATTTTTCAATTTCTTTTAGTTCACCATCATTTTATCATGAAATAAGAATATCTATAAGAATATCCAAAATGCATTATTTTACATTTCTCAAAATTCAAACCCAGTTTCCATTCAACAGATCATTTTTTAGTTTTTTTATGTCATTTTGAAGTAATTTTGAATCAACCTCGGTATAAATAGGAACGATTAATTTATTGTCATCGGCATACAAACAACATTTATTAAGAAGTTTGCTTGGTAAATCGTTTATGAATATCAAGAGAAGGAGTGGGCCAAGTACAGAACCCTGTGGTACTCCACTTAATACATCAACCCAATTTGTCTTGCATTTATCCATCACCACTCGTTGTTTCCTTTTCGATAAAAATGATTCGAATCATTTAAGAGGCATACCAACAATACCTGAGGCATAAACCTTAACACATAATTTTATGTGTGATACTCTGTCGAATGCTTTTCGAAAGTTGGTATACAAAACGTATAATTTTGCGCTTGTCAAGGTTACAAAAAGATTTAGTAAATAAGTTGTGCAGCTCCTACCTTTTAGAAAGCTATGCTGTTCTTTTGCTAATAGCTTGTTTGTTATTAAATGCTTGATTATATTATCAACTATTCTTTCTAATATTTTGCATGATATTGACGTCAGAGATACTGGTCTGTAGTTTGTTGGTTTCAAGTTACTCCCTTGTTTCAATATAGGCGTTATATTAGCCTTCTTCCAAATATCAGGTACAGTACCATCTTCTATAGATTTTTTAAATATTAAATAAAGAGGATATGAAATTGATGAAATGCATTATTTTAGAACAAAAAGATGTTATAAATCAACTCCAATTGATTTTGATATAGCTTCTAATATCGTGTTTAGTTGACAGTTTTCAATATTTTTGTTTATATCTTTATCTTCTACATATAAAAAATAGAAATATTTATTAAATTTTTCAGCAATAGCCATTTGATCAGTGACAATTTTTCCGTCGCTGTTTTTAATGGATTATTAATTTTTTCTCATTAATATACGAATAAAGTAACTTCGGATTTATTTTACAATTATTAATCTCTATCTCAAATGACTTAATGTTT